GAAGAAGAAGAAAATGAGGATGTGGATACCAAATAATGTGCCAAAGAATAAGCAACAGCCATTTGAAATACACGGCAACTACTCCATGCGGTGCCTATGGATTGTAAATGGAATGATGTCTTTATACACTCTAATGAAACGCATGGAAACCACTCCTCCAACCCATATCGCATTATAGCAGTATGAATATGCATAAACCACCAGTAATAGTCATTCAACTGATCTTTCTCTTCTTCTGGTTCTTGTTGTTGTTGTTGTTCTTTTTTCTCTTTACTGTAATCATTCTCATCATTTAACTCTGTATATGTAGATTTCTTTTCTGTTACAGCACACGGGGTTGTTGTTGTTGTTGTTGTTGTACCATCACTCCATCCATGAGAACGCACTAATGGGAAAAGTGGAATACCCTCACAAAGCAGTTTATGTGGAATACTTCTACAATGATCAATGAATTGCCATGCTGTGTGGAACCACTCTCCATTATGAATGGCTGGAAAAAGCCATGAGAGTGCCTCCTCATCCGCATGACTAAGAACACTATTTAATGGCATGGATAATAACTTGGAAGAAGCACATGATAATAAGGAAACTTCATCCATGGAGGTTGAACACGGCAATGAAGATGAAATAGTTTTATTATTATTATTATTATTATTATTATTATTATTATTAGAATTAGTATCAAGAAGAGATTCTGTGTTGAAATGACAATTAAACAATGGGCGATTGAAGAGTTCCCGCACACGTGTGGCGAGTAACGGTGTCCCAAGTTGATACCACCGCACAGAAAAGGACTCACCATGTGTATTTGTAGGAACGAACGTCGTTCTTTTTCCACTTTCTTCCTTTTCCACCACTCTTATTTCTATTGGTCCTTCTTTCTCTTTTTCCTCTTCTTCTTCTTCTTCTTCTATTCCACCTGCAGGTATTTCTTCCATTTCTTCTTCTGCCGCAGGGAAGAGGATGTGTGTCTTTTCGTGTGGAATCAAAGAGGAGGACTTCCTCTTCATATGAATAGAAGGTTCCTTTTTCTTACTTTCTTGTTGAGATGATTTTCTGACTAATGTGGTCCCTCGCTGCTTCTTCTCCTTCTTCTCTGATTTCACACAAACGGGGTCTGGCGTGGATTCTTTTTTCTTTACATTCTCTGCTTTTGTAGGATTTACACTCACAAAGAAGGATGCGGGGTGTTGTCCTTCTTCACTGCAAAAAATCTCTGAATTTACAGTAGGAGAGAGAGCGATAAATGATGTTTCGTCATCCATTGTCATTATACTATCATAAGGAAATGAACTATCATCCTCTATCGTGTTTACCTCTCTTCTTCTTCTTCTCCTTTTGATGACCTTTACACCTCGTGTTGTTTTCATTTTCGTCAATGTTCGTCTTTTTATTATTTTAACGCCTTTTCGTGTGGCTTTTTTCGCTCTGGCATTTCCTCGTGATGTTACTTTTGCCTTTCTCCTTGTGATTAATGTACGTCTTTTTATCACTTTTCTGGCAACTGTTTTACTACTTTGGGCAGATACGCGTGTAGTTGGCTTTCTTCCTCTTTTCTCTACTGTTATCTTTGTATTTGTTCTTTTCCTTCTTATTGCCATGGTTCTTGTGGTTCTTCCTCTTTTTCCTTTTACTGCTGTTGGGACACGTTTTCCTTTCACTGCCTTTGCTGTTCTTTTCCCTTTAACAGCATTTGCTGTTCTTTTCCCTTTAACTGCATTTGCTGTTCTTTTCCCTTTAACTGTCTTTGCTGTTCTTTTCCCTTTAACAGCATTTGTTGTTCTTTTCCCTTTAACTGCATTTGCCGTTCTTTTCCCTTTAACTGCATTTGCTGTTCTTTTCCCTTTAACTGCATTTGTTGTTCTTTTCCCTTTAACTGCATTTGTTGTTTTTTTCCCTCTTGTTAGTTTCGTGGTTCTTTTCTGTTTGTGTGCCTTCACACGTTTAGCGCTGACTGTTGTCATTAAACTCCCAGTTTCTTTTTCTTCTTTACTGCCTTTTAAAGCAAAAATACGCAAAAATTTAGAGGAAAAAAAAGAGGGTAATGAGATGAGTAAATAAGCCAAACAGGAACCAATCAGTTCTTATCTATACTGATTACAGTGAATACCAGAAAAATAAAACAGTAAATAGTAGTTGATGAAAAAATTGAAAGTAGTAATTAAAAAGAAACAAAAAACAGCACTGCAAACTAGAACGACAAAAAAAAAGAAAAAAAAAACAACAACTTCAAAGAAAAGAAAAGAAAACAAGACTCCACAGTCATATCTGCTACCACAAAGGCCCACAATCATCACATCATAATCATCATCATCATTAGAAAGTATCTTCACTCCCCCACTTCCCTTTTTCACTATTATCTCCCATCGGTAAATAGACTCACAAACTCACTTATTCAAATACACCCACAAGGAATGGAAAGAAAGAAAGAAACAAAGAAAGTAGTGTGAAAGAGAGAGAGAGATGGGATGTGTGTGAATTGATTTACAACCCCAGTTGGGCCTCCAGACTATATGGATCTGTAGTTCCTTCCTGTTCTTGTTTCTTTTCATTCCCTGGCAACTCTGGCAGCTTCGCGCCTGGTGTGGCGAGAGCATCTGCGAGATAACTCGCATCGCCTTCCTTCTCCATATCAAACACCAATGCATCCAATTCTCCCATCATCTCATCTTCGTCAATATCTTCTGGTACATCATAGGCACGACCCATTATTTCTTGAATCTCCTGAGTATCTTCATATAAATCTCGTAACTCATCCTGTAATTTATCCACATCCGATATCTTTAACTTTTTAAATTGATGCTTAAGGGCCTTATTAGCTTCCTTCATGGCATCCAACTGCACCTTTGTGTCTTTCACTGATTCCGTAGTGAACTGCAGTTGATCCATATTAAACTGTTGCTGCATCATTGCATCCTGTTGATTTTGATACATTCGTTTCTGTTGTAGGAGTTGTAGGGCTCGTTGTTTATACCGCTGTTGAGTCATTCCACGTGTTTTCATTATGGAATCCTTCAATTTAACGAGTTCCGCATCAATTTTAGCAATACGGGCATCTACGGCTTCATTACGAGTGGCGAGTCTAGCCCCAGCGTCCTCTAATGTCGGCTTTGGTGTGGTTTTTTGTTTACCAAACAGACGATTCATTTTAGAAATGAAAAGAGAGAAATATATATATATATATATAAGGAAGGGTTTGATGTTAGTTTTTTTTTCTTCTTTGTTTTTATGATGATCTTCCTCTTGTAGGGATTTCTTTCCTATTTTATTCTTTATTATTATCCCCAGGGTCTTCTTCTGCCAAAGCGGCTATGCTCAGTCTATGGATACCGTTAAAAGCTATATATATGTAATATATAGATTTCTTTACTTTCAACTTGTATCTCGTTGATAACTACCTTCCTTTTTGCGTATATTAATAGAAGAGAAAAAAGAAAAGAAAAGAACAGAGAAAAACAAACAAAAAAAAGATATACATTCAGTACCGTTGATATGTTCTTTTATCGCATTTATATTTATTTATTTTGAGTAGTACCAGAGAAAATGAAAAGAAAAAGGATTTCAATAAGAGAAAGAAGTGTACAAAAAGAGAGTGAGTGAGTGGGTGAGTTTCCACCCGGTTTAGTATACATGAATACAAGTATAGGCGTACACACAAAAGAAGAAGAAAAAAGAAGACATGTTTTATCTTCATACGAGGAAACTAAAAAAAAAAAAAATGAAGATCGACATTTCCATACTCTTTTCTCTTCCATATATATATATATATATTTACTTGGTGAATGCATCTTCACATAGTTATTTGTACATTTGAATTTTCATTAGGGAATGAGAAACACTGAAAATAACGGAGAAACGGAAAAAAGAAAAAGAATTCCGATATAACATATTCTTATATAAACCAACATTTCCAAATAATAAAAAAAGAAAAGAAAACTAGGAGAAACAGTAGTAATAATAATCATCATAATGATAATAACAATACTAAATATAACGGGATCCGTCAATCCTAACAGTTTCTTTCCTTTTTTTTCTTTTTTTTGTTTTGAAATCCTTCATTGTTTCCCCTATTTACAACATTCTCAACCTATTACTGTCAACTGGAAAAAACAAACAAACAAACAGGTATAACCATATGAATGCAAATATATTTCTCTGCGAAAACATTTCTCCAATGAAAAAAAAAAAACATAGTGAGCGTCAACAATAGCTTACTTCCAGTTTTTTTTTTTTCCTTCCAACTCTGCTTTTTATCTTAAAATAGTAGTAATAATAATGAAAAGAAAAGAAAAAAAAAAAAACCAACCTCTCCGTTACCTTGTACCGGTAATTGAACGACGTTTATTTCCACCAATAGCTTGAGAAGCCGCTCGTTCCTGTGCGAGTAGTAATTGTTTTTCCCGCATAGTGGCCTGCAGGGTTTCTTTCATGGCTTCCATCTCCTCCTGCAGCACTACCACCACACTCTTACCTTTGCTTACCTCAAGTGTAGTAGACATCGTTTGAGAGCAACCAATGCCAAGTGTGAGTGGAATAAATAGAGGCAGTGGAAATAACACAGATTCACTTTCAGCCGTCTTAGAGGAGACACTTCCACCTCCACTATTAACACGATTACTACCACTAGTAACAGGAACATTACCAGCTACAGAAGGTGTAGGACTAGTAGAAATAGTACTAGAAGCAATAGTAAGAGTAGTATTAGACCTTCGTTTTAAAGCGGATGCTACTCTTGGTGCATGCCAATTCATAAGTGTTCCCATTACACGTGTAGGACCCCAAAGAGAAGATTGATTCTTTCGATGACGACGACTACTACCACCTTTTTGAGAAGTAACCTTCTCTTGCAAATTTGCTGAAAATGTTTTAGACTCTGCTGCCTGTTCCCTTGCTCGTTCAAGAAAAAAGGTATAATATGGGCGACGTGTCTTCTTTTCCTTTAACAGTACTTTCACCCCATGGCTCTGCCGCCCATCACGTTCACCAGCCGGTAGTCCAATCACTTGAGAGAGAAGTGGAAGTCCTTCCAAAATAGAAGAACGATGCGCTCGTCTTGCGTGCTGTAAGGCACCGCGGCCGCGTGCGCGAGGAAGTGGCATAGATGTTGCATAACTTACAGTAACAGGAGGAAGACAACTCCATTCTTCAGCTGCTGCCATCGCTAACAGTGCAGATGGCTCAGGAAACACTGCTGCCTCCGCATTTAAAAGAAGCACAGGTGATGGTGCTATTGGCGACGGCGATGATACTTCTTCCTCTTCATGTTGTTGTTGTTTTTGTTGTTGCTGTGATTGTGTTTGATTTTGTTCTTGCTGTGTGGCACTACTTTGCGGTTGAGTCTTTTGCAGAATTGGAGAACTGTAGTTCGTGAAGGGGGAGACATTCGCATGCGGTGAGTGGGATGATTGTACTGTATCTACCATGGTTTCTGCTTGTGGTGGTTGTGGTTGTGGTGATTCATCTCTTAATGATGAGATAACTGCGGCAGAGAGTGATGGAGCAAATGGAAACTCCCCCGGCATTTGTTTCCCCTTTCCTTCTTCACTCACACCCGTCAAACCAAGACTAGCACTAGGCGTAAGGCTAGCACTAGGCGTAACAGTAATATTAGTAGTAGCCGTCGCCGCAAGACTAACAACAGGAGTTGTACTAATATTAACTGTTGTCGCAGCTAGACTAGGAGCAGGCGTAGCTGTCATACTAGTATTCGTTGGAGTGTTACTAGGAACAGGATTAATAGTAACATTCGTAACCGTAGTGGCGAGACTAACAACAGGAGTAGTAACAGCAGTTGCCCCAACACCTCCACCAACACCAGAGACAGCTGAGGGAACACTTTTATCTACTAGAATACTGGTAATAGGGGGCAACACGAGAGATTTTCGCGAGTCTTCCAGACCCCGCAGTTCACCAGGTCTCGAACTCACAGTAGAGAGATTGGGTTTACTCTTCTCAGCACTCCGAATTTCCGTCAATAGTCGCTCCAACAGATCAACAAGACTACGTTCATGATAGAGTCCCTCTTCAAACGCCAAGACATAACTTGAATGAAAAATACCACTCCCGTAATTATCATCATTATTACCAGGATTGTTGTGGGCAGCAATACTACGTCGTACCAAACTAGTTCGAAAACTTCGATTGCGAAGACGACTGCGGTCTCGTACCATTGAAGGACGTTGTGGGGTTAAACCCTTTTCATTTGGTGTTGTTGTAGTTGTTGATGTTGTTCGCTGGAGTAATGGACGACCTGACTTTACAGTTCGTATATCCTCCATAATGACATTTGCCGCACTGTGAATGGCGCCATGGACATTTGGTACACAAAGTACACCACCAGGAGAAAGTAATCGTTCCATCATGTATGCTTTTCGTACCACATCCATTACTTTCCATGCACTATCGGTTAATTTATCAAGTGGTGGTTTTGCTAGTTTCTCTACACCACCACCAAAGCAACCAATACAATGTACATAACCACCAAGACCTGGACCTGCTTCCCAACACCATACATAGATGTAGCTATCCTCGCTACTTGTACAGAGAAATATGGGAGAAGGAGTAGTACTTATGGAAACACTATCACTTTTACTTTTCTTACTCTCATCAGCAGCACCAGCACCAGCACCACTACTACTGGCCAAAGGAGTTGTAGCTCTTGTAAAGGGAGGCATCATGACATGTGAAGAGCGATGTAGTGTGAATCCACTAGACGCATCACGATGTCCAGCAGATTGAGAGGCACGTACAAATTGTACAGATGTCACTTCCTGTCGATGTCCTCTCCAACGCTGTAATAATTGTACACCATTTTCAATATCTGTACACATTTCCAATGGTACTGATGACATCCAATCCACATTTTTTACATCTAATAATAAAACATATCCATTAGCATCACCCACAGCGATATGGGATGCATCTCGACTTACTTCAAGTGCCGTTACCGCATCAAAGGTATGGGTTACCCGAAATCGCATCACCTCTGACATAGTTCGTAGATTCCAAACTTGTAGTAAACCATCATCACTTCCACTTGCAAGATAATCCGTTTCTAATCCAATAGGAACAACTTGACCCACAAAGCCAAGTGTTGCGAGTTGTTCCCGTAGAAATACACCAAAACTACCACCAAATGCAGAAGAAGATGCAATAAATTCTTCTGAAAATAACAAAAGAGGAGGTAAATCATCACCTTTACCAACATTTTTAAGACCTCCTCCTTCTGTACTCAGAGTATCACGGGTACTCGTCCCTTCACCACCTTCATCCCCAGCAGATAAACCTGTAAATGATGGTCGAGTAGAGACATTTGCAGAGGATGAATCTGTGTAAAACAAATATCGTTCTCGCTGTTGCATACATTCTCGTGTGATGGCAACGGGATCTTGAATAAGAGGACCAGGAAAAAGTGCAACAAGATCAAGAGGTGGGGATGCTCGACAATGTTCACCGTGTAAATTTCGAGTTTCTGGCATTCCCAGAGAACGTCGTTGTTTACTTATACTTCCCCTACGACTACCACCAGCAGCAACTCCATTACTAGTACTAACAATAGTATTAGCTAAACTCCCTCCTTCGTGTAATGTACTCTGTTTAGAAAGTTCTGTTGCAGTTGCCGCCTCAACCTTTCGTGTATCTTTTCCCTTTTCAACTTTTTTCTTTGCAGGACGATCTGTCAATCGTATACAGGCAATAGGACATGTTGTCGCTTCATCTAATGGAGTGATGCTAATCCCACCACGGTGTCCAATAACCACAATACCCAGTGTAGAGACAATAGTAGAACATGAAACCCCAACACCACTTGTTACTATACGACGATGTTCACTAGCACTTACACCAGCACTCAACATAGCCGCTCCTTCCATAGACAAGGTATAAAGTGCCGTAACTCCATTTGGGGATTGTTCTCGTTCAAAGCTTCCACAGAGAAAAGAGACAGGATTAAGAAATAAACCACCAGCTCCTATACCACTACATGCCACTGAAACAACTTCTTCCATACCTGTAGGGAAATCAAATGTTCTTAGTGGAGATCCACTAAAACTATTATATTCCACAATACGTCGTTCTCGGAGAAGTGAAACGAATAAATGGGATGAATCGGTTTGTTCTAATGTAAGACAGCCAATTCCTCCTTCTACACGCCATGATCTCGTTACTGCAGTCGCTAAAGCCCAACGAGATCCTGCATCTACCATCTTTGCTGTAGAACGTCTTTTCATTCGTCGCTGATGATGTACTCCATGTCCATCTCCATTATCCTCATATACAGATTCTTCACTTTTCTTACTATGATGATACTTTTCCTCAAGATTCTTGATATCCCTGCTGCTATTCATTTTACCTTCTGCTGTGTTTAAACCAGTTCTAGAAGGATCACTTTGTGTAGCCAATAAATCTACCACCTCTACATTCCATATAATAATAACAGCATCATCTGCACTAACAAAGAAACGCCATGTTTGTTGAAAAGCAAGAGCCACAACTGGACGACGGTGTCCACGGTAGTCATCTGGATATTCATCATTCTGTTGACTATCCCATAATCGTATATAACGACCACCAAGAATAATTCGATCATCTACAATATCATAACGTGCACGTAGTAATTCTCCTGTTCGAAGTGATTGTGGACTATCATCACTCATCATATGTAAACATTGAAAAGAGACACAATCAAAAAAGTATAATATACGTCTTGAATCCAGTACTAATAACAAAAGTGGATACCTCGGAGGTTGTAAAAAAGAAACATCAATAGGGTAACCACTAATATTTGAACTAGTTGAAAAGGTACGAAGGTCTACACGGTAGAGTGGACGAGAAGAAGAAGCCATCCAAAACATAACAAGACGATCTGCACCACCAGTTACAATAAGACTTCTTGCTGAATTCCAACACATACATGTAATACGTTTGGTATGTCCAGCACTATGAATAGGTGTAGATGTAGAAGGAGAAGTTGATAGAATACAATCTCCTAGAGTTACAAATGGTACTTGCATACGACTAATATGTCGTATTACCACTGTACCATCATCACTTGCTGTCATTAAAAGATCATGAGATTCACTTGGAATAATACGTGTAATAGCAGCACGATGTAAAGTTAATGTGAATACTGGTTCATGTAATTCTGGTGGTTCTACTCTTGTTAATGAAAGGTTTGATATGGAAAACCACCGTTGTCGCATACAATATATTTGCAAAACTCCAGTCTCAAATCCAAGAAAGAGAAGTGCACCAGTAGGAAGAAGAGAAGAAGAATTCGTCTTTTCATATTTGGCCACAGCAACAGAACGTGCAAACCAAGATTTCTCACCTCCACGATTCTTGGACTGATGATGTCGTAGTGGTTCAGAGAGAGTATGATTCATTCCCTTTCCCTCTTGTTTTCGTGGTATTGGATTGTTGTTATTGTTATTGTTATTATTATTATTATTATTGTTGTTATCATCATCTTTAGTACCTTCAGCATCATTACCTTTTTTAGTATCCATCGTGTCTCTCTTTTGGTTAGGAGTACTATCCTCTTTCTTAGTTGAATTCTTCTTATTCGTATGATCCTCCTCCTCTGTCTCCATCTCACCTTCATCCTTCTTCTCCTCAGCATTACCATCAATATCCATATCAACATTAGCCTTATCATCATTATCATTATGGACTTTTTTTACCTTCTCCTTTTTTCCCTCTTCATCCTTTTTCTTATACTTCTCCCTCATTAACTCCTCACCACTAACAAGTGGAGTGAAAAAAGATGATGATGGTAACATTGTGGTAGCACTTGTATCCCGCGGTGTACTTCCCTTCATACTTCGATTATTATCACCACAACTCCAATCACCCAATGCACCAGGTTCACTACCAAAACCCATTAATACATCTGCCTTTACAGGTCGACGTCTTTCAAGATGTTCATATGTTGGGGCCACTACATCCAGTCCAGTAAAATATTTGGAAACATCAGTAAAAAACATTTCAATCGCCTCACGATGATAGGCACGAACTTTAAATTGAGGTCGCATAACGATAGCTGCATTCTCTGTACTATTACTAATATCACTTTCTATTGCTACAGAGTCTATTTCATTTTCTGGACGCCATAAACGTTTATGACCTGTTGTAGAAGAGACACAACGTATATTAGAAGTAATTGTTTGTTCCAAACATCGACCAATAAAAGTTTTGAGTACCTCACCTGTGCCAAGACGTAGTAGTGTTACAGTTCCATCCATAGAAGCTACCACAAGCACCTCTGCATCTCCAAGGGATTCTGGAGCTAATACAATATCTATAATAGGAGCACCAGCTGCAAAGATTGTACGTTCATGCACAATAGCTGGTTTACCAGAAGCATCCGCTAGACGAGGATCTGCACGCCATAATTTCACCAGTCCATCCCACGCTGCAGTAACATATCGTCTACCACGATGTGCAAAGATGAGATGACTAATAGGTTCCGTATGATATAAGTAACGTACAAGAGGATATTGTTGTTGCCATGGTGTGGAATTCGCTGGTGTTGGGGTAAATCGTAATGTACGACCAGCATAATCGGTAATGGTATCTGTTTTATTTTTTCCCATCATACCTCTATCATCCGATCTCGTTATAGCACTCCCTGTATCATCTCCATACTCCTCTGATAAAAGTAATCGTTGTCCACTTTGTAAAATGTAGGTACTTAATTCATCCCATGAGAGTAATCCATCACCGTTGGTATCCATTACACAGAAAAGATTCTGTGCCGCCTCTACATGACTTGGCCGTCGTCGCTGGTATGAAGTATACGCAGAGGTCATGGATTTTGCAGAAATATGCCGCAATGCAGATCTTCCCATTAATAAAGAAGAACTAATCTCCCCATGTAAACTTTCCAATACTGTGGAAGTATTAGGTCGTGTGGAACGTTCAGGTGGAAAAAGGGCATCAAAGAAAGGTTCAACAATTTCTTGTTCAAATACAGAAAAAGGAATACCAGGAATAACACCATCATTAGGACTTGTTGTGGTTGTTGTTGTTCGAGTATGTAAACTTCCACGTTCACGTTCAGCACGCAAAAGACGTTGAACTTTCTGCTGTTCATCCTGTTGTCGTTTCCATCGCATCATAGCCTCCATATCTTCTTCCACACTATCTCCATAAGTGTCTCCTTTTTCATACGAAAGTCCTTTATGATGTTGTCGCTGTTGTCGCCACTCATATAAATCAAACACCAATCGCATTTGCTCTAATACCGCAAGAGAGACCATTGGATCTCGTGAACGGTGGGACATGGTGTTTATTTCCTCCTGTGCAGGGACGGCGGAGAGTGGACGGGTGAGAGTGTCAGACCGCTCTTGTGCATTTCGTTCCTGCATGCGATCAAATGTAGAGGTGACGCGATCACGGAAAAAGCCCGTGCTTGAGAGAGACGTGACGGTAGACATTAAATTATCCACACGTTGATGTTGATGATATTGATATTGTTGTTGTTCTTTCTTGGACGATAACTGTATATTGACACCACGGGTAGTTGTGGGAGGTTTCACTACATCTTTTTTCATATTTCTCTACCTTCCTTCCTTCCTTCCTCCTCCTCTTCACCAATAACCCCGTTGACACTCGTTTTCTGTTTTCTAAATGTATATATATATATATATATATATATATATATATACAGAAATGGAAATATAAATAACGTGGATGTGAGTAAGGAAAAAAGAAAGAGGAGAAAAAAAAAAAAAAAGAGACCATAAAGAAAAATAATAAGAAATAAATAAAAAAAAAACATACGAATCATATAGATCTTTTATGAATGTTCAGAACCAACTCAGAGACTCTTGAAAAAAAAAAAAAAAAAAAAAAAAAAAAAAAAACAGCAAAATATAAAAAAATAAAAAAAAAACCCTGCAATAAAAATCCTTTTTTTTTCTTTTTTCTTTTTTTTAAGCCAAATCATCACCCAAAAGATAATGTTCACAACAGGCATGAAAGTATTCCGTAAGGGCTGGATGTTTGCGAGCAAAACGAAGAAAAGCATGAAGTGTGATGTATGAAATCTCATTCCTTTCCGCCTTATTTCTCTCTTCCTCGTTTTCTTCTTTTATTTTCATCCCTTCTTCATGAGAAAAGGTACCAGTTCGTATGTATTCAAACAGTGTATTTTCCTCTTTTAGTTGAGCTCTTGATTTCGTAGCCGCACCACCCCAGATGGTGGAACGGTGTGGGGTAAACAAAATGTCTAAAAGAATATTAAAAGTATTATGAGAGAGTTGTCGCTCGTAAATAGAATCATCTGCAGCCATAGTGATAGCAACATCTATAGGAGTAAGAAGTATATTATTATGAGAAGTATAAGAGGGATAACGAATCGTATGACCATACAGCAATGAATGTGTTAATCTCCCTTCAGTATCTGTATTTATATTCATAGTAGTAGTAGTAGTATCATTTGTAGATGGAATGTTATTATCTTTATATTCTTTCTGTTGAGTGCGTAATGTATGACCTGCGAGTAACATCATAGCAAATGTACGCCGTAATACAATCATCATATCACTTTCACTTTCTATTTCATCCATATATACTGTTTTTCTTTCTTCTTCTTGTATACATGGATTTGGATTCCATGCAATAGGTTCTGTATGCATAGCTGATAAAAAGTCTCGAAATGATACATACATTCCACGTACAGCTGCACGTCGTGAGAGATGATATAAGAAACGCTCCAGAAGAATTGGATAATATTGAAATGGTGTAAAAAATTCACCCAATTCATCTGATGTTAAAAACCCTTCTGTGTAATCATCTTGATATCGTCGTCGTCGTCGTCGTTGTCTTTTATAAACTTCCTTCTCTTCTTGTAGTTTTTCTTCTCTTCTTTTTCTTCTTTTCATATGAACTATAGTAGCAAAACGACGCAGCATGTGTTCTATTCGTTTGTATGGAATTATTGCAAAGTGAGGATGAGCCGTTTCCACATTAATAACTTCTATAGGAATATGTAAAGATCGTGCTAAACATAAAAGACGTACATCATTTATATTATGTGCCGTTTCTGGTACTTTCATATAACGAGCCATAAGATGATGTATATTCTCTGCATAATTGTGTGGATTTTGTTTTTCATCTAATGAAGGATTATACACCGGAAGGTAAATTATTTCCACTGTATTATATACTTGACTCATTGTCTTTAGTAGTAATAACCACCATGGTGAGTCTACACTACACCAGGATTGATCAAAATAAGTATATGGATATCGAATAATAATGGGTTGTATAGACATAGCTGATATAAAGATAGGATGATGGGAATTAAATTGAATTAATGTACGTCCATTGGTATAACATTCCTCAGGAAAAAAAAGAAGAGGTGGATTATAGACATTCTCTTTCTCTTTCTCACATAGACTTTCCTTTTCCTCCTTCTTTTTATTATTATTATTATTATTAT